CCCCAAAACCCCAAAACCCCAAAACCCCAAAACCCCTTGAAGACTGAATAAAAGCAAAATAAATAAAATATAATTAAATTAAGTAACAATTCATAAATAGGGAAAAATTCAACAATCACTTATATTATAAAATGTACAGAGCAATTCCAACGAGCAATAAGCTACTTTAGAAGAAGTGGGCAGATAAAGAGAGGGAAATTCATTTGAGTAAGCTGAGAGAGATCAAACCCACCGTCGAAATAAGGGAACCCTCGCAATATAAACATCTTAAGAAAAAACTTAAAAAGACTTAAATGCTTGAAGGTATGTGTTTTCATATAATCTCTTATCAAATTAATAACTTTGTCCTTCTTGTTAAGGACTGATCGTTACGATGTTTGCTGATATAATATGATTTGGATGCTGATATTGATCACCATTTTATAGATAGATACACAGAAATTGAAAGAGAAAATAGGATACTATTAGAAAAGATGACGAATATCATGCAAAATAATAACAAGAATGCTTCATTCCCTCTAAGTGCAGGGTCAGTAAATGCAATTTAAACAGCAAGTACACAATCCACAACCTAGGCATTAGGATTACAGAAGAAGAGTTTAAATAGGGAAGCAAGGAAGCGAGAGCTATTAAAGATCACAATGGAAAATCAAGCATTTCTGAGAAGACTGTAGGACAAGTAACCCAATTATAACGTCTATCGCTGGGAAGAGGAGGAGCAGGATCGTAAAAAGATATTGAAGAATATTTGTGAGTATGACTATATTATTGATTAGCCAGGAGTCTAAAGTCAGATGCAGTCTCAATCCTAAACTAACTACAATAGCGGCCCTCCCGATTACATCGTAAGTTCTATATTCTGCAGGACAAGTAATCAACAATTTTTGTTATAGATAAAAAAGAAAGGAGCTCTCACAACATAGCCTCTTTACAAGAAGCGTGGTTATACAAGTGACAATAATCAAAACAGTCAATATGATGAAAGAGCCTTAAATGGCACTCATCAGAGACAATAGATTTTATACAACGGCTAGTAAGATCTAGGAACTGGCGTGTTTAATATTGAGATATTCCTAACTGTTCAAAGGTAAATTAAACCAAGTTATTTTTAATTGTTCTTAGAGATTTATTTATATCAGCCTAGCATGTGGAAAGAAGTGACAGTTTTGTCATCGAGATTTAAAATGAAAAGGTGCAACCATTAATAAATGAATTTAAAGAAGATTATGCACTGATGGCTGAGCATCTTAAGATTATGAATAAAAGAATGGTGCTGCTGAATCCAGTAAGTTTCTCAGTTTATAATTAAGTTTAGAAATTCACGAATCGTTAAGCATCAAAATCACAGTCACCTGATAAGCAGGGTATTCCTTAAGCAGAGCAAATCGAGGCAAACAACGAATCGCCCTTAAAGGTAGCCCTCGAGGAATCCCCTGTGAAAAGCTAAGGGAGGTCATAATCTCTTTCTCCATAGTAAAATAGATAATCTGAGCTATAAGTCGAGAAAACTCCATCTCCTTAAAGATAAAGCATTCCACCATAGTAAGAGTAGAGTTAATCTAAAAAGAGCCTTAAAGTTGAGAGCAACGAGTAGCAAGAAGTCCAAGTAGATGACGAACCTGTAGAACTTGTATAATAACAAATCGTCGAAGACGCAGCTGAAGACAATGAATAATAATGATAGCCTAGCTTAGAACTAATGTCTGAAGAGTTTAATATGGATCTAATGTTTTCTATAATTTAAGATACAGTTTTTATTATCCTAAGCATTCCAATTTCTAACTCTAACTTATTATAATTATATTTAAATCTATATAATATTAAAGATTAAATATGTTCAAAGGAATTCTATACTTCAAGCTAGAAAATATGACTGCCAGAGTGTTTGGCCCTCTCTTCCGCAGAACTGGTCAAAGTCTGTTCCGCAGAGGTGTTGCACTTCAAGGTCAACTCGCATCAGAAGATAGATTGGTCCAATCACTCAGATGTGTAGCTATATCAGACTCTAAGTACCCAAGACTATTAGATGTAAAAATCAATAATCTATTTCATTCCTCATTAATTATCAATATAGAGTGACTGGGTTGCCCCTAATGCTACAGTTGTAGGTGATGTTACTCTTGGTCAAGGTTCATCTATCTGGCACGGTGTAAACATAAGAGGTGATACTGCTTCAGTTTAAATCGGAAAGAATTGCATTATTTCAGATTTGGCTTTAATCAGCAGCATCAATAGAAGAAATGGAGATTAAGTAGTTATTGAGGATAATGTATATGTTGGACCAAACGCCACTCTCGATGCTTGTCATTTGGAAAGCTTCAGTTATGTTGGTATGGGATCAACAATTGGAAGAGGTGCTGTTGTTGAAAGCTTTGCTGTAGTTGCAGCAGGTGCTTCAATCCCAGATGGTGCTACAGTCCCATCAGGCTAAATTTGGGCTGGTTCTCCTGCTCACTATCTCAGAGATTTAACTCAAGAAGAGAAGCATATTATCTCTGAGAGTAATATCGAGCAGCAGCAACTTGCTTAGATTTACAATGAAGTTACTGAAAGAACATTCAGAGAGTAAGTTGAAGCTTTGGACAACTTTATCAAGTACTTGAGAGCTGACTTATCTTCAAAAGTTGAGGATAAACTTGCTGAATTTGGTATGCCTTCAACTCATGACGACTTCGATTATATTGAACATAGAGTCTATCATGATTATGTTGGTACTGTTGATTATGATATCAAGGATCCCAACCACACCTATGGAGATGAAACAAAAGCTTGGCTACCTTATGAGTAAGATCTTACTCCTTATCCAGAAGTTTTCCATAAATATCAAGAAAACTACAAGAGATACGATGAAGTAAAAGCTAGATTTAACAATGAGCAACCATTGCAAGAGCAAGGGGAGAGTCCATTTACTCGTAAACTACCAAAGGACATGTCCCCCTGGGAAGCTAAGTACGACATGGCTATGCCAAAATACACTGGTTCTCTCTGTCAATGAGAAAGATCTTCAACATATAGCATCATGTCTTAAAATAATAAGGCTTCTTTAAGCTTTAATTATTACCTTTATTTAAACATTAACATTTCTAATCACTAAGATAATAATATATTAATTTTATTCATTAATTAAAATGAGAAACTCATCGTTCGAATCTGATCCCGATGCCTAGATATCAGATCACAATCATGAAAACTTAGATAATGACTTAGCTGAATAGGACTACTCACCCAATGAAAACAAATAATCTTTCGCCCTCTTAAACAGATAGAAGACTATTGAGTAGATAAAAAGTGATTTATTTGACTAAGACAAGCACTTAAATCTATTGTGCAAAGATTTAGATAAAATCAAATAGAAGAAAAGGGGTAAAAAGGATGAGTTGATGACTTATCTTTTCATGAAGTACTCTGAGTTAATGCGAATGCAGAGGTAGATGAATTTTAACAGTATTGGATAGATCAACTTATTTGATTATGGATAGGTCAGAGAAGATCCACGATATTATCATCATGATAGAAATAATAGTATATAAAGATTTGAGGATAATAATTAAGCAAATTAAGCTTCTACCTCTGGGCATCAAATGCTAGATATTTAGTTTCTCTAAAACTTAAAGGTAAAATTTTCATTAAATGTCAATGTCAATAGAAACAATTCTATGCTATGAAGAAGTAGATCAATTCTGATTTGGAAAACAAAAAGAAGATCACATAGACTTTGATTGAATAGAGTGGTAAAAAGGTGGTTAAAAAGTCTTTTGATCACCATGAAATACAAGTTAAGTAATTAAATCTGAATCAAGTAGAAATTGAAAAACAGGAAAATATTTAACTAGATAGTTAGAAATCCATTAAAAAATCTAAAAGTAAAGAACTATTAAGCAGTCCAGGTGAGATAGAGTTCACTAGTCAAGAATAGAAGTAAAAGTCTCAAAGCTTTAAACAATCTAAATCAAAGACTCAAGAAAATTTATCAGTAAATTAGATTGAAGAATCTATTTTGGAGAAATAAGAAAGTCAATAGGATAAATAGATTGAGAGAACTGAGGTAAATGTATTTAACAGAACTGCCGGGAATTTCCCTACAATAAATCTGCCTGAAGAATCAAATCCTAATACTATAGTGAAGTAGTCAATCTAAAAGTAGAAAACCTTTGAAATGAAAATAGGTATCACAGAGCCAACATTGACAAGTCAAAATACCTTATCCCCAGAGAAAAGATTAGATTTAGTTGCATTTGATGAAGATACTTCACAAACTAGTTTCACAAGATAAATTAGATCTTATGAAGAGGCAGTAGAACTAAACAGAAGAAAATTAGCTTTGAGATTCAAGAGAAGTTTCAACGGAGAACCAGCTTAGTCACATCTAAATGTATCTTCATAATAGAAATTCGATAGAAAATTGACACTCCATTCAAACTAGGCTTCAGTAAGTTCAAAAAGCTTTAACAGGAATCTCAATTAAGATTTGAAATAGCAGATAATGCTAAAAAGGTAAACATTTAGGCAAGGTAAATTTAATACCCAAGATAAATTAACTACATAATCTCAAAATGAGGGTTTTAAGAGTCAGTCAACTGTTTTAAATTTAAAGTCTGGGAATTAGGCCAGTTTGTTAGTTGGATAATAACTTGATCCTTATTGGATTGAAAAATCTAATTAACTACTTAAGGAAAAGTAATAACTGCTTAAAATAAACATGAAGAATATGCATGAGCTAGACAGACTATAAAGTGAAAATTATAGACTTAAAAAACAGATAAGGCTTATTAATGAAGAACAATCTTAGATTTAGAATGAAAGCATTATCAATAATAATTAATAAAATCCTAATTTCAATCAGTTGCTCGACGATCTATTGATGGATGTTGACAAGAATAATGTTAGTAGTATGTTTGATAGTGAAAGTCTGGTGCATATGATGGAAAGTGGTACAATGAGAGTTAGAAGTGCAACAGTCGATTAGGAAATATCTGCTTCTGGATTTGAATATTTGTAAAGAAGGCCTACTAGTACAGTCTTCACTAGAATAGAGAATTTCGATGATGAAAAAATTGAAGATGAGAATATACTCGAGGAATAAGTATCTGATAAAGAGAATGAAGAGTAACCTTAATGATAATGATGATCAGATCTATGATTTATTTAGCTATTTGTTTATTTACAGGAATATTGAAATTTCAGAATAATGTATATCTATAAAATTGTTTAAAATGATTTCATAGCCATAAATATAAACTGACTCAAATTTATAATATAATATCAACAGCATTTATACTTTCATTCTTGTAAGGAAACCTAATCAGCAATGCAATTTTTAATGTGATTTTTTAAATATCATACTATGACTTTGATTCATGTCATTAATCATCTTTTGATTTCCAAATTTATATGCTTTTTATATAGCCACTGATACTCTTGCACTATTCTAAGAAGTTAGGACCTCCTAATGAGTCCGCTTGACATTTATGTTATATAGACTTGTGAATGGTCTTTGATTGTATTCATAAGAGGGAGTAATTTATGTGAAGTTTTAAAGTGACTGCCTACTCTTATCCTATAAAGCCTAGAGATAGTTTCGGTTTATTGGCTAAACAACTGAATATCTACTTTCAAGCTTTTTCAGTTACTTTTTCACAATTTGCATATCTTTCCTAAGATGTGTCAAGTCAACTTCTGAGTCCTCTTCATTTGTAGTTTCATTATTTTCTTGTACAGTCCCCTGATTTTACGCTTTTAGTTTTTAATTCTTTTCTGGAAGGAATGTGTGCTAATTGAAATAGGCTGATTTATTGTTGGAAATTACTGAACCTCTTGGCATCTTCATACTATTTATAGTTATCTGCCTTTTAAGCAAATTTTTCTAAGATTGGCTTTCCTTAATAGCACTGACATTTCTTACTTTATCATTTTGGCTCTGGTTTCTATTTGTTGGAGTAATATCTCTTTTTAATTTTTCGCTTGTTTTGCATCTCCCTATAAACTCTTTTAGTTTTTCTATTCGAAATAACTTTTCTTCATTTAGATCTTCCTAGTAATGATCCTTGCTTTCTTATTCTTTCTAATCTTAGGCAGAGATAATGAAATCATTCCTGTTCTATTAATATAATTACTAGCCCCTAGTCTTTGTTGTATCTGGCTCTTCATCTGAACTTTTGTCCATTTTTCTCAGAAAGCCTTTAATGTCCCTTCGATCTTCTTATTTTTTATCAATTAGATAATTTGCAAACTTGAGATAGAACTTTGGACACTTGTCTTAATCATTCCTATCAATTGAATGCTTATAATTTAATTAATTTTTCAAGGGAGAGTTAATTCTTTTTTCATCATACACATCTTGAAGATTGCTACTAATCTTGAAAACATTGAACTTTGTATGAAAAGTACTCCTATTCTTATCCTTACTTTTGCTTTATGATTTATCATTTTCGATATCTTTCACATTTGGTTGTAATATTATAGGAGTGTGAGATTGACTTTTATTGTTGAATGTGCTTCTTCTAAATATTTTCTCCATGCTAAGCTATAAATCCTCTTTATGTCTCGCTGAAATTTAATACTGTTATTGATACTCGCTGCTTTGATTCTATCCATAAAGCATATTACTAGATTCAATTCGATGATTTGGACCATTAGAGAGCTTTTGCTTATATTTTATGAGCTTTCCTTAGCTTTAATTTTTTCTCAAGAGTTTGCTTTTGCTTGCTGAGTGTGAATATACACTTAAATTATCGAATTAAGTCATCTTATCATCATCTACCATTTAAGGCTATGGGCTATCACTTCCTAAGTAATTAAGTTTTTCTCTAAAATACTAAACATCTTTTTCAGCTTTATTTATGACTTTTGCATTCGTTTCTCTCTCAAATTCGACCTCTAAAAACTTAGCAACAAGTTTCTGAATGGCTGCTTCTTATAATAATTATCCACTTAATTGCTAGAACGTGAATCGACTAAGAAAGATAGCATGATATTCCTGACTATCATTTGATAAGAGCATTGTTATTTTTTCAGTTATTTTCTCTTCAATAACAAGCAAAGTTGCTTTTGTTATTAAAAAAGGAAGTAGCTCAAGCAAATCTTCTTTTGGGGGTTTCAATTTAAGGAGTAGGTTAAATTATTTCTTTTTCAGAAGATCTTCTAGATGCTTTTTAGACTTCAGGTTATACTCTTTTTTGTTCTAGAGAAGGATTATAAAGAGCCAAAAAGTGATTGCAAATATTTTCTTGACCAGCTTTGTCTAGCACAAGCAATAGACCCTTTTCAACCTAAGATTTTCAATCTTTAGATACATGCAAGATTCGCTTAGATAAGTACTATTAATCAAATGTAAGGGTAGAGGCATTTGCTAAAAATCGAAATCCATCACTGAAAACTTACTCTACAACTCTATCTTTTTATCATGAAAAGCCACTACATCCTCGAATATCCCATAGGATACTCCATATATTTTGGACATGTTTGGGATAAAAACGGCTTGTTATTTTTCTTTTATAACAGATTCAATGGATTAATCATTGATTTCGAGAGTTTAAAATTCTTCAAATCGCTCTTGCAAGCGCTTTTTCGATACACAATCAATTACTTTCATTTATTTTATGTCTATATTATAAACATGTTAGACAAATTAAATTTTAATTAAGGAATTTCTAACTAAAACAACCAATCCTTAAATCTAATTATATGGGGTTTTGGGGTTTTGGGGAGATCGGAAGAGCGT